AAAAAGAATTTGTATGGGTTCTAGAGTCCATGTTTTCCTTTTCAGTTTGCAACATCGTGTATTTTAATCCACTCTCTTTGTGGTGGTTAAAGATTTGAGGTTGCTCAGGCTGACAAAGGGGGGCCATGAGGTCAAATCCTGTTTAGAAAAAAATAGGAGGGTTGGACCAGGTAGAAAGCCACACATCTGAGGTGTGTGTGTGTGTGTGTGCGCGCACATGTGCACTAAATTAACATCAGGAGATTTAAAAAACTAACTCTTTAATAGAAACAGAAGACCTCAAGAGAGATTAATGTCCTATTACTAGTGAAGTAACTTCCCAGGAATGTTGCGTGAGCCGTGTTAGTGTCACATCCCTTTAGATTCTGGATTTTAGTTTTTAAGCAGGTTTTCCCCTCTTCTTCTTTTCTTGAGAAGCACAAGGGCACCTTAAGTCCGGCTTCTGGTGGCCGGTCTGGAGAAGCCCAGCCCTCCTGTTGGTATCTTTAGTTGCAAGTTACACCCCCACACCCCGCAAGACATTCCCTGGCAACAAAGACATGTGTTTACAATTGTATGTAGGGTTTATTGAGAACAGACAACGGCACAGAAAAACATGGGTGGAGATCAGGTGTGAAGAAAGGGATTGGCTTCAAAAAAGGAAGCAGGAAGATTAGGTAAACAGCCCATCTAAGATGGTGAATTGATCCACAACAAAGCCAGCTTTGATGGAAATTAGGTGAGGTTGAGCACATACGAAAAAAATACAGAATCCTAACTCTGCTCTTCCTTAGTTACTCACCAGACCTAGAAGTCTGCAGGTTTAGATTCCTTCCTGCATCCTGGAAGATTTCACTTTGCATCCCGGATAACCTTTAGTTCCTTTTTGCCTTCCCCACAACTGGCTGCTGCCTCTGAAGAAACAATTCCTCTTTCACTCTGTAACCTCCAGGGGAGGTAAAAGGTTTCGATCCGCTGGTCAGTTGTGTGTTTTCAGCCTCATGGAGACCTCCAGCAGCCCGCATGGCTAGAGATGCTCATTATAATAGCCATCCAAAATAAGTGCTTACCTTAACATGGAGTGAAAGTTGGGACAGAGAAGGTTAAGACAAGGCATGCTTGATGATGGTGATGAGGATGACAATGACGATGGTTGACTATCTGCCATCAAGTTGGTGTTGATGCTTAGTGACCACACAGATAGATTTTCTCCATAAGGATCTGTCCCTAACCTGGTCCTTCAGGCCTTCCAATGGTGCCCCCCTCGTTGCCGTAGCTGATTCCGTCCCCCTTGCTGCTGGTGTCCCTCTTCTTCTCTTTCCTTCCACCCTTCCCAGCATTATGGGCTTCCCAAGAGAGCTGGGTCTTCGCTTCATGGCCCCAAAGCAGGATAATTTGAGCCTGGTCATTGGTGCCTTGAGGGAGAACTCTGGGCTGATTGAAAATCTGTATGTAAGCCAGTAAGATTAGAATCTGATGGAATAAAAGCCGAAAGGGGTTCATGAGGCCATCGAGTTCATCTCTCTGCTCTGGGCAGGAATTCAAATGAAAGCATTCCCAACCGATGGCTCTCCAGCTGCCGTTTGCACACATCCAGCAAAGGGGTCCATCAGGTCATCACTTCCACTGTCAAACTGCCTTGAGGGTTGACCCGGGGAGGAGGAAATGGAAGCCCAACGAATCAGATGATTTGCAGCGCTGCGCTGGTGCCGTGATCCCAGGGGTCTAGTCGCCTGTCACGCTGTCACTGATTCCTTAAGCCTCCGGAGGTAACCCACGTCTCTTGCTTCTCTCTCTGTTAACAGCAGCTGCTCAGCCTGGGACAGAAATATTTAACTTGCCAGCAGTCACCACCTCAGGTAAGGATTCCAGAAACGAGCACGTGGGTGCTTCCCGGCACAGCCGCGTCTTCCTCTCCAAAAACCCACCCTCTTTCAACGTCTAGAACATCTGCAGCTACTTGCATTGAGTGGGTCCCCGACCTAAAAAGCTAGGCAGATGCCATCAAGGCAAGCTTCTTGGACCAAGCGCTCTCCACGAGGGCTGGACTACAGCTTCCATCATCCCCAGCCAGCCCAGCCAGAGACTGCGCTCTGCCGAGTTGTCCTTAGCAGCTTGGGCGAAGAGATGGCAAGGCAAATGAGGGCCAGGGGGATGGGTGAGGGCCCCTGGCCTCCTTCCCTGCCCCTTCTGAGGTTGCCTGTAAGCCCCTTAATCCCACTGATGGGGCAAGAAGAGCGATGAAGCTGAGGCTTGACCAAGAAGGAAGCCGTGCTTAGGGATGGAAGAGGGCCGTTGTATGAGGTGTGGCTTGCACTGTCTCTCTTTTTATTTGTGAACAGCTGTGATTGATTGATTGATTGATTGATTTGTTTATTACTCTGATTTATATAGCTGCCCATCTCATTCATTCATTCATGTATGTATGTATATGACTCTGAGCAGCTTGGAGGCAGTTAAAACAATGTAAAAACAACCAAAGAATACAACAATTTAAAACAAGAAAAAACATTACAAGAGCATATTAAAAAAAAAAAAATGGTCATATAAATTCATAAAATTCACAGCCAAGGTAATCTCATTTACTAATAGCATTCAACACAGCCACTGTGTCAGCTCTACCACGCTCCCGGGTCCCCGTGCCCATTGGCAAAACCATGTTTTCAGTGTCTTTTGGAAAGCCAGCAGGGCCGGGGCCAATCTGATGACGTTCCACAGGGCGGGTGCCATGGCAGGAAAGCCTCCCTTCCTTGGCCCCGCCAGGCAACGCTCCCTGGCTGATGGGACCTGGAGTGGGCTGCTCCTGCTGGATCTGACGGGATGGGCAGATCTAACTGGGGAGAGGCGGTCCCTCAAATAACCCGGCCCCGTGCTATGCATTTGCTTCGAAACGCATAGAAACGGAATACATAGGAATAAACTGCCCGGAACTGCTGGAAGTTGGGTGGCATGTAAATTTAATAATGGTTTTATGGTTGGTCGCGCAGTCAGCCAGATGTTTAGACTGATTTGGCATTTTTATCCACCTCTCGAGTTCTTTCCAAGGATCTGGGACAGGCAGGTGTTGTTTGATGGTGGTATTATTATTATTATTATTATTATTATTAT